AATCAAATAACTAAATTTTTACTCTATGTATTATTTATTTATATTTACCTATTTTTTTTCCTATTTCTTTATAAGATTAGTGCGTTTAAAAGAGAAAGAGAAAAATAATAGAAGAGAAATAAGATAGAAAAATATAAAAAAGAGAGAAATAAGTGAGTAAAAATAGATTAAAAAAAATAGAGTAAAAATTTGATTGTTTGATTGAAGAGAAATAAGTGAGAAATAATGTTATATGTTAAAAAAAAAAGTGAGAAATAAAGCATATACAAAGGAGAAGACATAAATAAATAAATAAAAAAATAAAAAATAGAGTAAAACATTAAAAAAAAAGTGAGAAATAAAGCATATACAAAGGAGAAGACATAAATAAATAAATAAAAAAATAAAAAATAGAGTAAAACATTAGTAAAAAAAAAAAAAGAAGAAAGAAATATAAAATAAAAAATATTTTTAAATGAATTTTTTATTAAGTATTTTTTATTTGGATCAATTAAATAAAAAACTATATAACTAAATAAATAATATTTTGGAATAAAATAAATAAATAATTAAAAATAATTAATTAATATCTAAAGTAAAGTTAAATTGGATTAAAAAATTATTAAAATAATAAATTTAAAGTATATAAACAATTTAAAATTTAAAATTTCATTTGAATAAAAAATTGTAATCGATTGAAAGTTTAAAAAAAAAAAAAGTCAACGTAATTGAATAAAAATTTTATTTAATCGATTAAATAAAAAAATTACGATTTCAGTATAAAAAAATAATTTAATCTATTGTGAATAATATGTTAATTGATTACGATTGAATTTCAAATGTTTATTTTATATTTTTGAAATCATTTGTGAAGAAATAAAAAGACGTAAGTCTCTTATTTCATTGTTCCCTTTCTTATTTCATTGTTATTTTGTCGATACTAAACAGAAAGTTACTCTATTTTTTTCATCAATTCTAAACACACCTTTTATATGTATCAATAGGGGTGAGTAAAGGATATATTATGACATGTTAAACTTTTCCCTTACCCAATCCAAAATATTAATTAAATTATTTATTTAAATCTAAATTTGAGCTAATCAAGATTTAAATTATATGACACAAGATTGATAGCGTGTTTGGATATATGTTGAAAACGTGAAAAATCACATTCAACGTGGAAGTTATTAATAATAGCTTCCACGTTGAACGTGGTTTTCCACGTTTTCAACGTATATCCAAACACGCTCTGAATCAATCTAATGTTTTAATTTAATATACTAATATTAATATTTATAATTAAATTATAAAATAAAATAGATACATAACTTAAATTAAAGTATATTTTATGATATATATTTTAAAATAAGTTAATAATATCATTATTAATATAATATAATAATTTAAAAATATTATCTATTAAAAATATTTTCTTATTTATAAAATTATTTTAAAAAAATTTAAATGTTTTTAAAAAAATTGGAAAACAGAGACAATCCAAAACATAACCTAAATCCCTCCTAATAATTATATGGTTTAATTTTAAAATTTGAACAACAAGAATCGAATTTTGCTGACCCCTTTCTATGAATCTCCTACATACTCGTTATGTCTGAAATGAGTAACGGAATCTGGAAGCAGACAAGAAAGATTGCAGCAGTTTTGTCATTGCTGGGTTACACTGTCTTTGCCTTTAATTGGCTTTGGTGCTTTCATTCTCTTTTACTCTTTCACTTGCGATGTCAAATCCAATGCAACAACACAATGATCAAAAGACAAAATGCAGTTTGGACTGAACAAATACGCATGCATGCATGAACAATTCAAACACGCTGTACTGACTTAAAGCATATACTCATTCCATACGCCACTGATTTTCACCACAATCAAGAAAAAGAAAAATCTACCTATTCAAGAAAAATCATAGTCCATTAATCCCCGCTTCATGAATAATGTAGTGGTACATATGAAACAAACATGAATCCTCCCGCATTTATTAAGGTAATATTTTTTTTAATAATCATTATTAATATATGAGGTTCGCATCGCAGACACATGGCACAGAGAAGACACAACCATCTCGCACTTTAGCTTTTTTGAGAGACAGAAAAAGAGATACATCTGTTTGTGTTTGGCTCAGAAATACGTATATATCATGGTTTTAAATTGCGGTTGCCGTCGCGGTCGCGGTTGCAGTTACTGCGATGCCTAAATTGTCCCTTGAGACTCGATTCTTCAAATGCTTGCCTGACAGTCTTTGTCTGCGTTTGGTAGTCCATGTGCATCTCAAGACTTGATCTTCGTCTGAGCATTTGTCATCAATGCTTTGACTTTCTTTGGTCTAGTCAATATTGTAGATGGATAGACTTCATTTCTGTCTGGAATGCTTTTCAGTCTGTGTTGTCCTTCATCTGATATGTTGTTGACTTTCGTCTGATTCTTGACCAGCCTTCGTCTGAATCCTTATGTTGCGCTTTATGTTGTGCTTGACACATCTGCATCTGGTATTTGATCCAACATCATCTGGTGCTCATGTCGTATTTCATCTTGCATTTGACTTTGCTTCGTTTGATCCTCATGTTGTGGTTTGCCTTGACTAATCTTTGTCTGGTACTTGAAGAAGTTTTGTCTATGGTCTGTATGGACTTCTTCTCGTTCTTCAATACACTTCGTCTGAAGCTTGATCACTTTCCTTCTTGTGCTAGACTTGGCTTCGTTTGATCTTTCCGTCTGATGCTTGAAGCTTTCCTTCCTTTATCTTGGTTCTAGTATAAGAAGTGGCACATGCTCTGTTTTTTAACTTGCTTGTACTTACTTTTTTCTGAAACACTAACACACATGTTAGAAATAACAATATCTTTCCCTAGCCTCTTCAGGCTTTACAAATGATGGATAATTTGTTTTGAGTGTGTGGTTTACTCTCACAGAGAGGATATAAAGATTTACTACACTCACTAAGGTTTATGTTCCTAAGTTACACTTAGAACTCCTTAGTCTACAGAGATAAATACAATATTGTACATTTGACTATGTATGCCACGGTATATGTTTGGCACTAAATAAATGAGACAATGGAATCTTTAGCATTGAAATAAAATATAAAAAAAAAGTCATATTGAGAAAAGAATATTAAAGAAGAAGAAATATATACAGTATAATTTTTCAAAGAAAAAAATAGTATATGTATGAGGCATAACATGTTCAACTTGGATGGTGATTAAATTTTAGAAACCAATAATCACTCACGGTATATACGATGCAGTAGATAAATCCATCAATTGACATCGTAGCTGCAGAGGCATCGTCTTTATCTGAAAAAGTAATATATTTTTTCTGACACACGCATGCTTTGACTTTTGGGCTTGCATTTCTTCTTCTTCTTCTTTTCATTCCAGCACGTGATCATATTGAGAGCTCTTTGTATGATTGTAGACGATGCCTAAATTGTCCCTTGAGACTCGATTCTTCAAATGCTTGCCTGACAGTCTTTGTCTGCGTTTGGTAGTCCATGTGCATCTCAAGACTTGATCTTCGTCTGAGCATTTGTCATCAATGCTTTGACTTTCTTTGGTCTAGTCAATATTGTAGATGGATAGACTTCATTTCTGTCTGGAATGCTTTTCAGTCTGTGTTGTCCTTCATCTGATATGTTGTTGACTTTCGTCTGATTCTTGACCAGCCTTCGTCTGAATCCTTATGTTGCCGAGTAGTTGATCCGAGAAACAATTTATAGAGGATTACAGTTGCTACATACACAAATATGAAAATGGATACTGATATTTGTTTTTCAAACGTGAATACCAGAACAATTATTATAAAACCTTATTCATTAGCATCTCTACTAATGCTAAAGTATTTTTTATTTATAGATAAATTAAGTTTTATTTAAAAAAACTGTAAAAATAATAAATAAATTACTACACTAAATAAATATTAATATGTTAATAAATTTTATTTCAAAATTGGAAAGTAATAAATAATTAAATTTCCATAGTGGGTAAACATTATTTTAATAGGTTAATTAAATTTAATTTAAAAAAATATAAATAATAAATAAATCAATAAATTAAATAAGTTTAATTTAAAAATTATAAAATATTAAATAAATTGTTTCAAATAATATTTATTATTCATGATAATATTTAACATATAGTTAATTGAAACATCAAGAAAATATAATACATGATTAGTTCTCTGTGGGACTTAGATTCATAAATTGTGATGTCTTAATTAATTTCATAGGTACTACACAGCTATTTACATTTTCCTTTCTGTTATCTCTGCAGGGAATTATATTTAAAATATGGCCAGAAGCAATATTTGCAGCAGGCAGCGCAAAGTCAACGGATATATTTTAACCGTTAATTCCGTTGTTCATTTCATGCAAACCGTAAGAAAACAAGAACAACGAAAAATTCTCTTGATGACCAAGTTTAAACTTACAACATTAATAGGAAGCCAATAGAAGATGAGTTAGGATAAGAAGTAACATTTTAAATATTATAAACAATTATCGTCAAATAAAGTCTGAAACATTGATACAAAGTCTTAATTTGAACTTTGATTGAGTTAACGAACCTTCCATTATAAAATAAGAGTTAATCATCTATATACTATCAGTGTAAAAAAATTTTACATTGACATCTAATTATATCTCTTAATTATGTCATATTACTGTTAAAAGTAAATGTGTTTACAGTGACATGACACAATTAAGAGGTATAATTAGTTACTAGTGTAAAAAATCTTTATACTAACAGTGTATAAGTGATTAACTCATAAAATAATGTTAAGAATGGGTAAAAAACCAAGTGGACGAGGTAAAATATATTTTTCTTTTTCTTGTGAAGCATCTCCTTAATTAGTCTACTCTTTGATCAAGTAGGCATTAGTTGTTAAGGAATGGTTAATCATCAAATAAAGAATTAATTAGGGCAAAGATAAACTGTAAACCAATTCAATGCTTCACCCTTATAAATAGAAAGCTTCACATGAATCAAAATTCAAATCTCAGAAGCGATTACATATATACAGCAAAATCATTTAAGACTAAGGAAAACATGAAAGTTGTTTACTTCGTTGTTGCCATCTTGGCTGTGACATCCTCCGTTGTCTCTGCCTATGACCCAAGTCCTCTACAAGATTTTTGCGTGGCAGTCAAGGAAATTGATGGTGGTATGTACAAATTCACAAATTGTATGCTTGTTAATTTAATGATATATATTGCCATTAAAACTTTTGCTCGTTAATTTGTAGTGTTTGTGAATGGAAAGTTCTGCAAAGATCCTAAACTTGTGAAAGCTGAGGATTTCTTCGAACACGTGGATCCTGCGAACACTAACAATCCACTTGGTTCACAAGTGACTCCTGTATTTGTTGATCAACTACCAGGGCTAAACACACTTGGCATAGCTTTGGCTCGCATAGATTTTGCACCAAAGGGTTTAAACCCTCCTCACACTCACCCTCGTGCCACAGAAATTCTTATAGTCCTTGAGGGAACTCTCTACGTTGGATTTGTGTCATCCAATCAAGATGGAAATCGTCTCTTTACTAAAGTGCTAAACAAGGGTGATGTGTTTGTGTTCCCAATTGGTCTCATTCATTTCCAATTGAATGTGGGGTATGGAAATGCAGTTGCCATTGCTGGTCTCAGCAGCCAAAATCCAGGAACTATCATTATTGCAAATGCTTTGCTTAAAGCTACTCCACCTATTTCTGGAGAGGTTCTAACCAAAGCTTTCCAGATTGACCAAAATACACTTGATTATCTTCTAAAACAATCTTGGTATGACAACAACTAAGTGTGGAGTGTGGATCGGATGGTCAATTTTCTCTGATTGGATAAATGTCTCTTAATAATCTTAAACAATTGTCCATCTCTGAATAATTATCACTATAATAAATATTATACGTGTGTTATATTAATATACTTTGTGTTTGTTCAATATATTTATTGTCCATCTCCAAATAATTATCACTTTAATAAATATTATACATGTGTTATATTGATATATTTCGTGTTTGTTGGATTTTACTTTGGATTAATTTTCATTGCTATGTTTATGTAAGATAACAATATCTTTCAACTCCTTCAATTTAATTTTTCTTGGGTGGGCGTTCTGATTTATGTTGATTTACTAAAGAAATCGATAGTACCCCACTGCCAAATTAAAGTTTGCGGAGGTAGTAACCAGGGCTAGCTCTCAAAGAATTTTTTCACTTGAGAAAAAGATATTTCCATATCTTGATTTGGTAAATGAGAATCATTATCTCTTGAGATCTTTTATAAGCCTCTGTTAAATGCATCTAAAAGAAACATAGATTCATCGAAATTTGATATAAAGGTTCTCCAACACGAAATACCTCTAAAATAATCTAGTAGTAATCTATAGATTGAAGAACACTCAAGAAAGTACCCTAACTCTTCTTAAAACTCGAAGAAGGTGATATACTTATTTACAAGAGGACGATGAACCACTGAAAGACTAAATCATCTGTTTCAACCAGGAAGCAATGAAAATTATAGACTTGAACCTGAAGGTCCATCTATCGGACATAATTAATAATGGCTTAAAATATTGTCCTTTGGCACACGATGTTGGAAATCGGGTTGCATTCGGACAATATAGCAATACACACCACTTATTAATACAAGGAGAACAAACATTTTAAAGGAAACGTATTGTTTTCATTTGATTGATCTTCCCCCACCTCCCAGATAAGAACATCCAAATGTGGATATATTAAAAAGATTTGACTTCCATAGATCATTTGGTCATGACACAAAAGAATGTAGAGCACTGAAAAACCCAATTGAGCGACTTGTCTAGGAAGAATATCTCAAACGTGACGTGTATGATGGAAAAAGGAGAGGTAGGAGTCCTAAATGTAGCCAGATCGGATATTGTTTTCATTTCTAAATTAAATTTCAATTTTTTTAAAATAATTAATCAATAATTAAACAAAACTTTCATAAAATAAATTATTTAACACAGAAGATATAAAACGTAATTTACATAAAATAAATAGTATCAAGGCCCACGTCCAAACCACTTAATTTTTTTTTCATGCACCAATTAATCTCCTAATCTCACTAAAGGCCCATGTACACTCACTAATTAAAAAATTATTTTAAAATAAATTTTTCATTAGGCCACAACGTACTACAAGGTACAGCCCACGTCCAAACCCTTAATTTTTTTTCATAAGCCAGTGACTCTCCCAAACTCAGTAGAAGGCCCACGTCCACTAAGTAAAAAATTAATTAAAATAATTTCTAGGTTTTCATTCCTATTTCATAAAGGTTGCTGGTTCCATGCGTCGTTCTTCCCCCAAACTACTCCAGAATCCATATTCACCGCAGCATTCAAACATTTCAAGCCAAAATCAAAGAGAAACAGGGAAGAGGCAGAAAACTTACGATTAACAAAAGCTTCCTCTTCTTGGTAGAGATACAAGGGAGTTCCGAGTTCCGAATGCAAGTGTAAGTTAAGTTCTATGCTTTGTTTTTCACCTTTTATGTCAAAGTTTGAACTTTGAACCATTATATATCTACTGAATATATTCTCTGAATCCTTGTTCTCTTCTCTGAAAAAGCTTCCCGAAAGTTAGCTTTTTTTTAAAAAAAAAGTTACTTTTTTAAAAACGATTCCTTGTTCTTGTCGTTTGCGGATTCAAAACGGAGGTGTTGCGGACGCAACACCGTTACACTACGGAAAAATCCGTGATTTACGGTCTCACCGCAATTGCGGTCTGATGCCGTTGCGGATAAGGCCGCAACCGTAATATTGCGGCCGCAATGCGTGATGCGGTCCGCAATTTAGAACCCTGGTATATATTTTCAGGAGCAATGATACAGATGAGAAATACGTATATATATTTTCAGGAGCAATGATACAGAATTTTTTCAGAAATAATAGTTTTTTTTTAAAAAAATACCCAACTGGACCCCCCACCCTTTAATTACTTAAATGAACCTTTTCATTGTACAGGTTCAAGATTCAATTTTCAAAGAGTTGAATTTTGACTTGCATGGTGGTGATTCTTGGTGTGAACCCTGCCGAAATTTGGTCTCTTGGGAGCCGACTTTCGAGCTGGGGTTATTATTATTTTTTTTTACATTTAAAAATTTGAATTTTTTTAAAATAACAATTTAAAGTTTTAAAATATAAAAAAAAAAGAAATATACTATTATTACAATAATATTATTTATTATTGTAATAATAATATATTTAAATTAAATTCCGACAAGGTTTAATTGTAAGTTCTATGATTTTCTAATATATCAATTATAGAAAATTAAAGGATCTTTGAAATTCATGATACTCACATAATAATAAATAAATAATGTGTACCTTTTTTATGTTGCGCTTTATGTTGTGCTTGACACATCTGCATCTGGTATTTGATCCAACATCATCTGGTGCTCATGTCGTATTTCATCTTGCATTTGACTTTGCTTCGTTTGATCCTCATGTTGTGGTTTGCCTTGACTAATCTTTGTCTGGTACTTGAAGAAGTTTTGTCTATGGTCTGTATGGACTTCTTCTCGTTCTTCAATACACTTCGTCTGAAGCTTGATCACTTTCCTTCTTGTGCTAGACTTGGCTTCGTTTGATCTTTCCGTCTGATGCTTGAAGCTTTCCTTCCTTTATCTTGGTTCTAGTATAAGAAGTGGCACATGCTCTGTTTTTTAACTTGCTTGTACTTACTTTTTTCTGAAACACTAACACACATGTTAGAAATAACAATATGTATTATATTTGTCTCATTCAAAACTTTGCTGGGAATTGCTTCGTCTGACTTAACATTTCAATCACCTGTAACTGACGCACGATTCTGGAGTTGATAGGTGGTTCGCCTCCGTGCCGGCCTCGACGCAACCGAACCGTTTATTCATGCACTCGGCGACCTCCGGCGGCGCCCCCAGCAACGTGGCGGCGAAGCTGGCAGCGAGGG